GTTATTCCTGCAAATCTTTACCATTGTCTGACTGCTCTGGAGTGCCCCATCCCGCCTTGTCCGAGCCCCGGCTGCTGGAGTCAGGACTTGCCGCACGGATGAAGGCCGTCTTCCATTTGCTCTTCTTCAAGAGTAAATTACGAGGCCCTTCCTGACTAGCTTCAGAACAGGGGCTCGAACCACCGGCACTGCCGTCACCTTCCTCCAAGGCACGAAGCTCAGCCTGCAGAAGAACAATCTTTCAACATCACCATTTCAAAACAAAAACCTTATATTTTAAATAATTAAATACTATTTCATTGACAATAATGGCTTATGAAAATCAGACCAAGAGTTTACATGATGCATTCATAATCAGAACAGTCATATAATATAGACTAATGAGTTATTTCTCATCATGCAACTCACTTTTTTCCTCTCTAGTGCTAGTTCTAGTTCCATCGTGTCTTCTTCTGCCTCCTCCTCCCTGTCGGATGATTCTGCTGAGTGGTTCCTGCTGCGCTGGTTACTCTGACTATCCGTGTCCCGGAGAGCTGGGGAGTCCAAAGACGGAGTGCCTTCTCCCTCTAGTTCCTGGGCCGCTTCTACGGTCTCCTCTATGGCCAGCACCTTCTTTCTCCACTTCTCCTCTGCCTCCTTCACCTCTTCTGGGATGAGAGGAGCAAGAAGAGTAGCTGCCACGCCTCTCCTCTCTTCTTCCTCGCTGGTCAAAGCCACAACACTCTCGATGACTTCCTGTGAGGATAGAGGAAGAATTACACCAATGACCAAACTGTAAAAATAAAATAATTTCTAGTAGTTTTCCCATCCTATGTAATTAAATGGGAAGTCCCAAAAAAATTCCTTGCCTTCTTTTTGGTTTCTTTCTTAGATGCAGGAGCAGCTGCAACAGGCGGTTCAGTATAACTGCTATGATGTGCAACACCATTGCCATTTACAGACGAGCTGTGGAAAATAACATTCCAAGTAAGATTAATATATCAAATACATGAAAAATTCATATATAATACATAAACACACATGATACAATTCCTATATACATACGTGTGTGTGTTTGTATATATATACACAGGGTTTTTCCTGCATTCTCCTTTATTAACAACATATCATATACTAACAAAATTAATATATAAAATGCATAAAATACTAATAAACAATTTTTAAATAAATAATATATACACGCATATATAAAATAATATTGCAACATTCATAATTTTATATTCAATGTAATATTTACAGAAAGGTTGGTTTTGCTGCACTCACCTGCCAGTGTAATGTTGACTTTGCATCTGATCCGCCAGGTAATGCGGAAGCTCCCAGGCCACCTCATTGGTCTGAGTATTCCAGTAGTAGTAACAGCCGGTATTTTCATCCCACACTTCCTGCCAATCACCCATCTCCAACCCAGCTACAACATCACAGAACACAAGAAAATATGGATTAACTCTCACGTTATGAATTATTTTGAGATTTATATGTAGGAAACCAAACCAGTCAACTAGTAAACTTACCTCCTGCGAGGGAGTACTGCGTGTTGTATTGAAATTCTTGAGTCTGCTGGTCTGTTTTGGGTTCGGGGCGCGGAGGAGTTGGGGCTGGTGCACTTGCCTCAATCTCCGATTCAGGTGTCTCGGCTGGTTGGGTCGTAATTGCATCAATTTCCTTTGGGGAAGACATATGATAACCCATGTGTTTTAAGATAAATTGTGCGTCACTCAAAACTTGTGTAATAATTTTCACCATGGGAGGCATCATTGGGGAAAATAAACAGCATGACGAATTCTACGCAAATCGACTAATTTACTAAATCTACGCCGATGCGTCATTCCAGACCTAATATAAAGCAATTGTGTCTCTTCAGAAGACTTCGACTACACCACTTTATTATTAACGTTTTGAAGCATCAAGAGTTTAGGGTGTATAGACTTTCAATGGAGGGACAAAAATCTCTCAGATTAAAAAATAAATAAATGTGGTGTACCGAAGATAAAGAAAATTTGTTTGAGTTTGGAACAACATGAGGTTAAGTAAGTAATAGACGACAATTTTTAATTTTCTGAATTAACCCTTTAGTAGCACAAGCAGCCCATGACTTCACTCACCGCCATAAAATTTGCAAGTGTGCTGTCAATGTCTGCAGACTGGTTATGTTTTGCCTTGATGACAGTCGGGGTGTTTTCCGCCGAATCTTCATCTTCACTGTCTTCATAAGCTCCAAGCAGAGATAAACCCTCTAAAGAGCAAATTCAAGGATATTTGTAGTACATTAGATTCAAATTATATAACCCATGTAGTAATAGATAGATAGATAGATAGATAGATAGATAGATAGATAGATAGATAGATAGATAGATAGATAGATGTGACATTATGATATATATTCTTGCAATATTATTCTACACATTGGCTATATTATACAGTGACAACAATTTGGTATAACTTACGTGTGGCCTTCACAGCTGGTGTCTTCATTACTACATTAACTTCTCTTTGCCCGTCTGTGTTACCCTCAGGTTCGTCTACAATAGGAAACAGCCAGTTTGTAACATTTAAAAAACAATTTATAACCAAGCTGTCCTTGTGCGGGTGAATTAGCATTAGCATGTTGGCTAACGCTTTGTCTGAAGTGCTGTTCGTCTGCTGCGCTGCTAACTGCGGCTTATAAATGACTTAAATAAGAAACACTCCTCTAAAACATATACAAGTAAATCGTTAAGGATGGGTTTATGTTGCTTATGTCATAACCAGCTTTACAAGTGCTATCTGCATGCACATTTTTCGTTTAATCGGTAAAGTTACCATTGTTGCTAAAGCTAAACTTGACAAACGGCTGTTAAAAAGGCATGAACTGAACCACACAATTTGTCTGTGATTATTACAAAATAAAAGAATTAATACACAACCAAAGCAAATATGATTAGCGTTAGCCAAATGAAATGACGCAAATGTAAGCCAACTAACGTTAGTTTAACTTACTAAATAAACCCGTTTTCCACGGGCGTGTTTCTCTAAAATGGTTTCGTCTCGCTCCATGTTTTGTCTATCTGATTCTACCATAGACTTTATACGACTTGACATTACTGATCTCTTTCTCGCTCACCTTCGGATCCAGAGGCGACCCCGTCCTCTCTAGCGGCTCCCGTGGCGCTGCGGTTCGGCCCGGGCGGTGAGAGCTGTAATATGGTTCTCCTGCCGGTACCTGTGCGAGTCTTCTTTCCCATCACTGCTGTTAGTAATGGAGCTCCGCTCAATCTCAGCACTGTCTGTGTGTGTGTGGAAGAACCGAAGAACTGGTCGCTCCTCTTCTTCTTCTACTTCTCTTTCTATAGCGGTTGGCAACCAGCTTTTTGGTGCATTACCGCCACCATCTGGACTGGAGTGTGGATCAACTGGTCAAACTCAGACTCTGCAACCAGGTCTGACTACACTTTTTAAATTCTTTTAATTAACCCAGTTATCTTTAAAAAAAAGAAAACAAAAAATAAAAACAAATTTGACCAGACCCTCTTTGCATTATTTCCTGTAAATTTAGGGTAATCTCATTCTCACCTAGTTTAGGTTGTGATAACTGGTCGCTCTTTCTTTAGAAATGGCTGTTTGACTTCATGTCCTTCAAAATAAAAGTTTTTATATAACTTCAGCGTTTTGTCGTTCTTCCTCCCAAACTCATATTTACGCAAATGTCGTAACAGCTGTGTTTAATGAAACCGTAGGCTATTTAATATCAAACAAAAGATCAGATGATTTTCGTTTATATCTTACTTTTGCATTATAACGTTGCATAAAATGAGAAGGACTTTAAATTGGTCATGCTGCGTACCTGCTGAGTAAAAAAAATCTGAAACGTTTCAGATCACGGACAGACAATAAGAATTATTATTATTATTATTATTTAAAAATAATACTATTAATTAATATTTTTTCTTACAATGTTTATATATTATTTACTTAAAATATGTCAGTGGGCCTAATTTGTTTTGGCTCGACTGGGGCGGGGTATATGTAAATTTAAGCTCTCATGATGTCACTAACCCGGGAGGAAGCCTTTTGTTTAAGTTTTTTAAAGAAAATATCTCCCTTTTGCTTTGAACTTTGAGCATTGTAACTTTGCAGATGTTATTTATGCTCAAACAGCAATACACACTAACTAAGTTAGAAAAGTGAAATCATAATTATCAACCACACCTTTAAATATGCTAATTTAACTGAATCCGAGACCTGCCTTTATGATTAATTTACTAGCCAAAATACATATGCCTATTGCCAGTGAGTGACTATTGACTTGTTCTATTTTGTAAATGCTCAGACAATACACATCAACATATACATCATTTTAAACAATGTTGGATTGCTTATATTATTCTGTCATCCTTTGTTGACTTATTCACATATTTTAAACCTATGAATATAACAGTGTCTGCTTTACTTCATATTACAGAGCAGCAGCACTATAGAGGATGATTAAAACCTATTAAGAGTCTTACATCAAAATGGAGACCCGAATCTGTTCCAGAAAATCTGCATTATTTATGAACAGGGGCACATTGTTAGAACTGTAACATTTATCATTGACATGGCCAACCTCACTGAACAGGCTCAGAAATCTGGTTTAACTAGTGCCTGGCTGAAATCTGAGATTACTTTCTACAGAAAATGTTTAGGTTGCAATTTTGGAAAAACAAAACAGTAGTCCTGAAAACGTGTCTTTTTCCGAAGAAGAAATGTTGCCAATACTGTAAAACACTGAAATGATGTAGCAATCAATAACATCTCAGAAAGAAAGAAAGAAAGAAAGAAAGAAAGAAAGAAAGAAAGAAAGAAAGAAAGAAAGAAAGAAAGAAAGAAAGAAAGAAAGACTTTGGCACACTTCATATCAAGAAAGCTGATACCCTTTAATTTAAATATTTGTGTTACAAATGGCAGAAAAAATATGTGTAAATTAAATATTTAATTACATAAATATAAATACTTTAATTCTAATATATAATATAAGTCCCAATTGTTTATTATGAATCTGATTAATATATATATATATATATATACATTTAAATAATTTACACTTCTATAAATCTACTATAAAATATATACTAATGGCGATTTCACTAAAATGCATTATGTCATAACTTATTGATCATATATATATATATATATATATATATATATATATATGTATATATGCGTCAGTGCGTCAGTGTCTTAAAATGCCTAATTTATCTAAGGCCAAATCCTGGCTTAATTTAAGCCCTGTGAATCCAGGCCTATATCTATTATTAAAAACGATAAAGGTCTTTAGAGAAATAATTGTCACTTTTCACAAAGCAATCGTCCTCTGCAGTTTCAAAAACTCATCATTATCTTGATGCTCTTTGTATACACCGCCATAGTTTGCTCAACGGTTCCTAACCGATCTTCTTCACTCGATGTCCACCAGTGATCCCTGGACCTTCACGCTTGCTTGGACAACATTTCCATCACCCTCATCTTCCTCACCATCAGAGCTGTCGGCCCAGCGCCCGACCCGTCTCACGCCCTCAGCCACCACGGGTGCGTTCACACAGGGATTGTGGTCGTAGATGACGAGCTTCAAGCCTCTTAAGTAGGCCAGCGACGGAAACTGCTGAATGCGATTCCGGTCCACATCGATCACCTCCAAGTAATGCATCTTCAGCAGCACAGGAGGGAAGTCATTGAGCGCGTTCCCCGCCAGCCAGATGCTGCGCAGCTCCTCCAGTCGCCCGAGCTCGGAGGGTAAACTACGCAGCTGATTGTAGCCCAAATGAAGGGTCTTGATGTTGGGAAGCTGGCATATTACTCGAGGGAACTTGGTGAAGCAGTTGGTCTCCAGCCACAACGTTTTAAGCTCGGTGAGTTGCCTCAGCTCCTCGGGCAGCCCGTACAGTCGGTTATTACCGAGGTAGAGGATGTTCAGTTGAACGAGGCTGCATACGACCAGAGGAAGCTCTTCGAAACGATTGAAGTCCAAGGCTAGAAGCTGGAGCTTCTGCAGGTTTCGCAGCTCCGACGGCAAGTTGCTCAGGTGGTTGTCGCTTAGATAGAGTTTGACTAGTTCACTGAAAGCAGAAGCTCTGGCTGGAAAGCGACGTAACTGCCGGCTACTCAGGTCTAGAGTACGATCAAGCGGCATCTCCTTCAAGTCGCCTACTAAGAAGCGTTGACATCTCTCGGAGGGCACGAAGGCCACGGCACCCCGCACAACATTTCCCATCTTCTCGGCCCAAAGTCATGGTCTCTTAAAAACACAACATAATAGGGTCAGACATGAAGATTTCTGGAGCAATGCTATTCACTCTTAAAAATAAAGGTTCTTTATTGATGGTTACATAATAACCTTTAATCTATGGAATAACGTGGAAGGTTCTAAATGGAACCATCTATGCCAATAAAGGACCGTTATTTTTAAGAGTGATACAATGAAAAGACTAAATAAAAACTTAAATGTTCCTTTCTTCTTACCAGGTTGCCGAAATGTAGATCTTCATTTACCATCGAGCTTTTTTGTCAGAAAGACTGAGAGCGCAAAATGTGCGTCAGTGTGGTGTTTCATGCTCCTGTGTTCTGCTGACACCTCTGCCCTGCCAGTCGCCGAGAGCACCAGAGATGACATCCAGCATGCTCCTCCCCATTCTGGCTAAGTGATTTCTTCCAGCCCTGGAAGGTGGAGCTGGCCGGGAGCTGTGATAAGCCTATTGTCCTGTGAATAAGGAATTTGACCTTCTATTTAAGCATTTTTATCTCAAGTCAGGACCCTCTGCATAACTGGGACCACTTGAGTGCACCACCCCAAAAAGATAGGACTCATCCAGTTATGGACAACCAGTAGAGGTTGTCAATATCACATGGCATGCCACAGTGTTTGGTTGGGAAAGTTTAAGAGTAAGCATGGGAAATAATAATAATCAAACTGAATATAATATATGATAAAATATATCCTGTTCAATTTACGGTAAAACCTGTAAGCTGTGGTTGCCAGAAATTTTTCCAGCTTTACAGAATGCCTGTATTTTACAACTTTTAACTGTATATTTTACAAAGTGATATAATGTTAACATACGTAGCCTACTTTAAATGACAAATCAGCCTTTTTACCGTAAGACGTTTACCACCTCTATACCACATGATGAATCAAGGTTCACAATTGGCCTATTCATACAACATATTAGGTACTTGTAGACGGTGCACAAGGTCATGCGTACAAAGACAATACACACATACATGGTAACATACATGACTCTGAAATAATGCAGTAGACTTTACATAACATAAAATGTAACACAAAACAGACTAATGTACCTTACTGATAACAAAAATAATAAGAAAAATTATTTATTTAAAAAAATATTCAAATGTGATGTGTAAGACAGGGACTTCTAGGAATGCCATTTCAACAGTTTTATTAGCTGCTGTAAATTATATGGACTCATAGTACTTTCAAAAAACATATTTTACAGTATGTAACAGTAAAATTACACATGTGAGGTAAAACATTTATAGTTGAGTAACTTAGAATTCTTTCAATCTCATTTTGATTAAAAATGATGTATTATATTTAATTTCAATGTAAGAAGTTTTTTTTACAAATAGGATGGACATGGCAAACAAAAGCTAAAGCCTTCTATTCAATAAATTCAAGAGAATTTCATTCTTTTATTAATGCTTTTGTCTTCATTATGATATCAGACATATTCTATAAAGATTATGTAGATAAAAGAATGGGATAATAATGCATTTTCAGAATATGTTATGCTGCAAAAATAAGATTAGCACTGAAATGGTACTATCTATGCATCTGCTATACAATTGTATACCGGTTGCTTTGGATTTTTGAAACAAGGTCGTAGGTTAACATTATTTAAAGAAACACCTTTAATGTGATAAAACACCACACTATGTGGCTGTATTTTGGGATAATGACTGGCTGACTGTATTATCCATTATTTACATGCTGCTTTCAAGTGTTTTCAGTAACAGGCCTTATACACCTATCAATGAAAAGTTTGTAACTCACAGTATTAAATCTTGAAAACATCCCATTTCTGTCTTACACCTCAAATTATGGATTCTTGATGGATGTTACCTGCACTTGGCTGCAGATGTAAAATACACATATTCTGTACTAAGATCGTAAGATTTTCTGTATTATAAGCAGGGCATGTTAAATGGCAGACTACACAATATTATTATAAAATATCATAAGTGCAAAATATAAACTAAAATCAAATGAAAAAAATAGTGACTGTAATAGTGTCATTCTATTATAACATAATACAATTCTTCTGTAGAGTGTCTAATATCCTACCAAGCACAATTTTCAGTTTATCTGCTCTGACTCTAGTGTGAAATAAACTGAAGGTCAAGGGGTCAGAGGGTAAAGGCTATTCCCCCAGCATTCTCGCCTGTAGGATACACAGCCATCTTGGATCTGCGAGGAGAGGGTAAATTAATGCGGTTAGTCAATTTCATTTTCACCCTAAAAAATACATTGCACAAAAGGGTTTGCATCGCATATACAGGGCCAAATGAACATTTGCAGCTTTATGCGTTTATCCAAGCAGATATTTAGTAGCTGAATGAATGCAATGACACGTTTGCACGGCTTTACTGGTTTCTGTTTTTGTTCTGGAGGCCAGAGTTAGCCGACTAGCGCTGAGTGCTAACAAAAACAGTCAGCCGAGACAGAGGCCTAAACCATTTCAAGAGACAGATACATGCATTATGTATGTCTAGACATATAGTATAAAACTAAAACACCATGACTAATATAGATGAAATGGTTCAATTTGTTTTGGTTTTCTTAAATCTTTATTTAAGCCGTAAATGTCTAGTTAGCAGCTACATAGCTATCGTCAAAGCTAACTAGCTGACATAAATGAGAACATTTCGCGACATGCCATGGTTTATTTTACTTATTTATCTCTGTAATTATGTTCGTAACACCATGACACGTACGAATCAGTTTACATTTTTTGAATAATGCTTCGGTGTATTGAAATGTGAGTTTGTTAAAGTATCAGGCTTGCAATTGATGTTTCTGCATTAATTTAGCTGGTGTTTTAAGCTGATTTTGAGTTTGCTGTCAGGTGTCAGTTCAGAAAGCGATATTTGTTTTTGTTTTCCAACCATACACCACATATCTGCTGTGTTTTGAATAGATGAATACATTTGTTCAACAACGTACCGAAATAACAGGACTATATGCTCGTATAGCATACGATTATTGGCTAAATTACAGTAAAGTTTAATCTCTTCACATCCTTTGACATCATTGCGAGATTTAGTTATAAATTGTGCTGAAGAACAAAAAACGGTTTTATAATGCTCTTTAAAGCAGCATATAGCCTTAGGTGTTGTTCTGCAGTGGTAATTCATTATTTATTACAAGTTCTCAGTATTGCCATATAGAGCTGGTTAATGATATGTCCACTAGATGTGTGCAAAGATAATCTGATGTTATTTTGCTTCAGATATAGGTGATCAGGAATTAAATATCTTGGTTTTAACCATGTCCTCTTTTTCCGTAGGTGACAAACGGAATGTTCAGTGCAACGAGAAAGAAGTTTGGTGAGGGGGTCGAAAGTGACTACCCGGACGAGATATACTATGGCCAGCAGTCAATGTTCCCGCATCGATCGGAGAAAGACGTAAGAACAGTCGTTAGTTAATTCTGATTGTTATGTCCATCATGTCTAATGCTTTTGTTAACCATAGGTACGACAGATTATTATTGGCTTATTTCACATGCACTGCGAACATTTCCACTGAGATGACCACCAAAAAATGTTCAAATGTTTTCTTTCCAAAATTATATATATATATATATACACACACAATAGTCCTTCATAAATGTTCAAAACATTAATTAAACTAATTTGAATGCCACTATAATGTCATAATTTCCAGACTTTTTGAAGTTGGTAGCGTGCCAATAAAAAATCATGGCGGGAACAAAATATGATTCGAATTTAGCTGTTTTGTATTTCCCATCATTCTGAATGGCAACATAACAGAGAGAAAGTACAAAGATAAAGCATCCAATACACATCGACTGTGCATCATAATGTTTTTTAGCATTAGTGCTGAAAAAGTGTCTTTCATTTGTCAGCATGAGAAATATATATGTATTAAAGAAGTATCAAATTATTTCAAAAATCTTAGCTTCTACAACTGATATGTGTAAATGAAAAAGGTTTCTAATATGTGTGTTTAATAATGTCAGATCCTGTTTACATAGTTTTTAAAAAAAAAAAACGTTGTTTACAGATGCTGCCATCTCCCTCGCCGTCATTGTCAGGTCAATTGTCACAACTTGGTGCGAGTTTGTATGGTCCGCAAAGTGAGTACAAGTCTTCGATCTGGCTTAGATTACTGATAAGTTGTTGTGCTTCTCATAAAAACACTTTGCACTCTGATTCTGAGCACCATTTGATCAGTGTTTCTTAATTCATAGGTGCACTAGGTTTCTCAACAAGAGGTATGAGCAACAACAATCCTCAACTGAACCGGAGTTTAACACAAGGCACTCAGTTACCGAGCCATAGCACCCCAACCACAGGCGTCCCAACAATGTCCCTCCACACACCACCGTCGCCGAACAGGTACGCCATGTCCTCCGTGTGATTTATGTTGCGTGGGATGACGTGATCTGCTGTGCTAAATCCCTGCCTTGCTGGTGTTTCTGCAGGGGCATCCTTCCCATGAACACCAGGAACATGATGAGCTCGCAGGTAGGGCAGGGCATGGGTATGAGCGGCAGGACCAACAGCATGGGCAGCTCTGGCCTGGGCAGCCCTAACCGCAGCTCTCCCAGCATTATCTGCATGCCCAAACAGCAGCCAGCACGCCAGCCATTCACCATCAACAGGTAAGACTGGCCACACCTGAGTGAGCAAACACAACTTGATTTGGTTACAACTTGACACCATTAATCCAGTTTTCAGTTTCATATGATCCTTTAAAATAATTCTAATATGCTGCTCAAGAAACATTAATTATTATTATCAATGTTGAAAACATTGATGTGCTGCTTAATATTTTTTTTGTAAAAACTGATATTTTTTTCAGGATTCTTTGATTAAATTTAAAAGAACAGCAATTTTAAATAGAAACATTTCGTAATTAATGTCTTTAGTGTCACTTTTGATCAATTTAATGTGTCCTTGCTGAATAGAAGTAGCATGACCCAATAGCACACTTTCATCAACTGGATCGAAACTCTTACACTGTGCCTGGATCAGCAAGCCATTCTTATTGTTGAGCCTTGTTAATGGACTTTTCCCATTATAACCGAATAACAGGCCTACATTTTTTTTGTAAGGCTTGTTTTCTCTGGATATTTATGGTTGATGGGCACACACCATCTTAGAATCTCCTTTCTTAAATACACACTTTGTTCCTTTGTTTAAAGCTGATTTTATGTTAAAAAGTGGATTCTCATAATCTTAAATACACATTATGTATTTTAATTAACTTTCACCTTAGGCCAAGATAAGGCCAATCAAGACTGATTAAGACTGACCTTAACAAAAGGGTCAAATCCTCATGTGTGTCATTGTAGTATGTCAGGATTTGGAATGGGCCGGAGCCAGGGGTTTGGAATGAACTCCTTATCCAATAACATCTTCAACGGGACAGGTGAGCGCTTCATTGATCGTGCTTGGTGATGACACACCACGACAGGAATCTTGACGCTTAAATTATGTAGCATTCCATTCTCATTTTTCCATCATCTGTGTGGCAGACGGGAGTGAAAACGTGACAGGAATAGATCTCTCAGAATTCCCAGCACTTGCAGACAGAAGTCGAAGGGAGGGAAACGGCAACCCAACACCGTTGCATAATCCGCTGGCTGGAAGGGCACCCTATGGTACGAGTTCATTTTACACAGTCGCATCACTTAGCAGCCGGGAACCCAAACCCTCTTAGTTTTTGTGACTAAGCATGCTTCTCCTTGAATGGATGAGATGATGTGTTGTGAATGCATGACAAGTTCAGTGGTTTTATTCATTATTTTCTCACAATTACCCTAAAACCTTTGTTAAAATGTATCTCTGTGTAGTTGGAATGGTCACAAAGCCCTCGAACGAACAGTCGCAGGACTTCTCAATTCACAACGAAGACTTCCCAGCCCTACCCGGGCCCAACTACAAGGACCCGACATTGAGCACGGATGAAAGCAAATCAGTCAGTATTGCCTGAACTTTCATAAGCTTCATAAAGAAATGTGAAAAGGATACTTTCAAATGATGCTGTCCAGAGCTGCGACGATTGTTTGAGCTTTAACTCATTGTTCTGGCCTCTGCTGTCTCCACAGAACTTGAACTCATCAGGCAAAGGCAGCTCAAGTGCAGATGGACCCAAATTTCCTGGCGACAAGACATCATCAGCACAGAATAACAACCAGCAAAAGAAAGGGATCCAGGTGTTGCCCGATGGTGAGGCTCCCTAGCAACATTCACGGATGTATTTCAAACAACTTCCAGCTTTGAAAACATAGCTGTTGAATAGAACAAGTAATGTGCTTTTTAATCAATTAGTATCAAGAATCTGCTCAGGCAGGTTTCAATGCACCAGTCAGGGTTTCCATTTCAATTTGATATATTTAAAAAAGATTATAATAGTACTTCCAACCCCATCAGAAGTCATGGAAAGCATTAGTTCACCCAAAAATGTCTGTCATTAATGACTCACCCTTGTGTCGTTCCAAACCCGTAAGACCTTCGTTCATCTTCGGAATTCAAAGTAAGATATTTTTTATGAAATCCGAGAACTTTCTGACCCCTATAGACTGTTGTTACCACTTTCAAGGCCCAGAAAGGTAGTAAAGACATTTTGTCAGTCTCCGGCACTGAGACTGTGCTCATGCAGGAGCCGTCTGTGTCAGAGACTGAATAAATTGTTGAATAAAGTCGTTATTTTGGGGGATTTTTGCGTCTGACAGGTTTGGAATGACATGAGGATGAGTAGCTAATGATAGAATTAAACATTTTTGGACTTTCAACTTTTACAGGCAAGGTAACAAACATTCCCTCAGGAATGGTGACGGATCAGTTTGGAATGATTGGGCTCCTGACATTCATCCGGGCAGCTGAGACGGACCCTGGGATGGTTCACCTGGCTTTAGGAAGCGACCTAACAACGCTAGGACTCAACCTCAACTCTCCAGAGTACGACGCTTTAGTTATTTACGATTACGATGCTTAAGCCAAATTTTCTCTTTTCGGCCACACATTCATTTCTCCATTTCTCCTCGTAGGAATCTGTATCCTAAGTTTGCATCTCCCTGGGCTTCAGCTCCATGTCGACCACAAGACATTGGTAAGAGTTAATTTGACCTAACTGGTAAAGATGACCAACTCAATTTGGCTCTTCAGTAATGAATGCAACTGGTTGTTTTTTTTTTAGACTTCCATGTTCCTTCAGAGTACTTAACCAACATTCACATAAGGGACAAGGTGAGGGGATAAACACTTCAATAAAACAGCATTGAAATTGTAATTTGCACCCAGCTGACCTCATAATGTGCTCTACACAGCTGGCTGCAATAAAACTGGGGCGATATGGTGAAGACCTGCTGTTCTACCTCTACTACATGAACGGAGGAGACCTCTTACAACTCCTCGCTGCCGTCGAGCTGTACGTCCTGCTGATTAACGCATTTTCTGCCCAAATATTATTTTTTTTGGCAACCAACCATAGAGGTTAAATGGAAGGCTTTGTTGTATTGCAGTTTCAACCGGGACTGGCGGTACCATAAAGAGGAAAGGGTTTGGATTACAAGAGCACCTGGCATGGAGCCCACGCTAAAGACCAACACCTACGAGAGAGGAACATACTACTTCTTTGATTGTCATAACTGGAGGAAGGTCGCTAAGGTAAAGATACTTAATGTGTTTCATAACACACAAGAATGAATCTCATTGGTTCTTGTGGAAGCTCAAACATGTGCGAGTTGATGTTTGTTTATATGTGAATATAAACCTAAAAGCCTAAATTCAATCTGTTCATCATGTAAAGCGATCGTGTATCTAATTTGGATCTCTTTTCATTTCATATGAATTAGTTTTACAAACTTTTTATGAACGTTTTGAAGCGTCAGAGTGGTAGTTGCATAGCTGTCAATGAAGGGTCAGAAAGCTTTAACGCCTTGACGCCTGAAGTTATTTACAATTATATAAAAAAACAGGCATTGGGGGAATACACATGCTATCTCGCCTGCAGTCTGAACGGAAGGGGTTTGATGCGAATTCGCGACAGTCGGCGTTAAGGGATTAAAATGCGTTAAAATTAATAGTAATAAATTATATTGTTTAATTTGATCAAAAGTACTTTTTATGGGATTCATTTCATTTTCACACGTACATGGCAAAAATGTTTGAATCGATCTGCTTCACTGTGAACCGTTTAAATACTCATTATTTACAAAAGAATAGTTGAAAACGTGCACCTTGAAAGTACTTTTTTGACCAGTTGAGCAGTCGATGCTGATATGTCACTATGATACTGAACGTTCAAGTGAATTGCATGTCATTTATATATATATATATATATATATATGTGGCTGGACGTCAGCTCTGTGCTTTCCTCTCGTCTCAGGAGTTTCACCTGGAATACGACAAGCTAGAGGAGCGGCCTCACGTGCCAACCACCTTCAATTACAATCCGGCCCAGCAGGCCTTCTGAAGCTGCGTCCATCAGCACCTGTGAGCTCTTGGAGCGATCGGCCAGAGACAGCCAGCTGACCTGCCCGACCACAAAAAACCTGGTTTTATTCCTCAACTGTCTGGACAAGAACTGCGGGAGGGGGAGGGGAGGGTGGCAGGGGTCTCCACCTTGAGAACTGGGGGGAGGGACCCTGCCTTACAAATTATGTGCTGCCCGAACACAAAAAACACTTCTATATATTTTCATTCTGTTTTTAAATTCCCCCTCTTATGTTTTTTTTCTTCTCCCTCCATTTCATTTCGAGCAGGGTCAATGTTTTGTTTACTCCTCTGATGGAAAGCCCCCTTTGGTGTTTGCCTGGAGTCTTTGAAGTTGCAGTACAGCACACAAACACATCCATTGGTATTAAAGAGAGAAAAAAATACGCAGTTCGCGCTTTGTTTTCCGAAGCGCGCTGTGCTAACAAACAGGACAGACACAAAGACAAATCCAATACATGTGAATACACAAGGGCAAAAGAAAATGCAATGTTCATTGTTGCACTATTTAGTAATAAAAGAACACAAAAATTGTTTTCTGCTTTTTTTTTTAAAGTGGGAAAATTGCTCCGCTCACATTGTTGTCTAGAAGGAGGTGTGGCCCTGTCATTAACATCGTGGAGGTGCTCCCCCCCTCCCCCCAATTTTTCTTTCGTTTGTCATTCCTTTTGCTCCATCCACCTGCGTTCCTCATCCCGAGCTGTTTTCTGCTTAGTTTCAATTAAACCCAATCAGACTGTTTCAGTGACCGTTGCTGGGCACAAGCCGCGGACCTGGCGGTTGTGAGCTTATCGAGAAACATTGTTCCAGAATGAATACAAACCCTTTTCAGTCTTTGTTACGATTTTGTAATAAACGTGTACATTTTTTTAATTTTTTGACATCACATGAATAAAGATATGTATGTATGAATGTGTATATATATGATATATATAGATAGATGTATCTATATATATATATACATTACGTCTATTTTGGAAGAAGTAACTATGCTTGGCCTCGTTTTTAGGAGGTAAACTGAAATGGCATTATGTGGTAGAAGCAAAAAATGCAAAAGACAAAAAAAAAGAATTAGTGAACAGTATGTTGAGCTGCCAGAAAGGGAATCACGTGTGTTACCCTGTGCACTTAAAGACCAATTCAACTAAACGAATAAAGGCGACACGGAGGGCCTACCGAGGACATCTGTACTGCGGGAAAAAACCACGGGGGTGGAGACATTTCAGCTGCAGCTATTTGAATAGAAGCATTTCGTAGGAAAGGGAAAACCGATAGTACGAAAAACAGACCAATCTTGTATTTTCTGACCACATTTAAGGCTCCCTTTCTTTGTAATAAAGCAGAACGGCTTTCCTGAACCAGTGTTTGGACTCTGTATGGGACGGGGTTGTGTGTGGGTGAGACCGCACTTACAGTACCAGCATGCTGTTTGTAATCTCTCTGTAATGCATGACTAAAACTAACATGCCTTTTCCTGTTTCACATGAGCAGACGGTTTGTTGTTTTTCCCCCAAGTATTTTAATAAAGATGCCATGAGGTTAATGGTTAATGCACACGAGCTACTTGCAAACGGTCAAAATAGACAAGAAAGATCAGATGGAATGTCACTGAAGAAAGTGTAGTGTGCTTTTTCGAGCACTATGAATACTGTAAGACAGCAGAAGCAGCTTTAAGGCAAGTGCAATTCAACTTCCTCCATCACAGTGCTCAAGGACGTATGTGTTTTTAACTGTCGGACACATTTAAGGCAGCACAAATAGGCAAAACAGAAAATATTAGTGCGCTACATTTTAAATTATAAATGTCACATTTCAAAGACGGAGTTGAATAAGATTTGGCCATTATTTAAAGGAGTAGTTCACCTTAAAAATAACTTTTGCTGATAATTTACTCACCCCCG